CCACCTGCCACAAGCAGTGGCCCAGGGTCCTTTAGCCCTTGTCACTCCACTCTGTTTAAGGCTTAGCAATTTATGTGAGATTGGCTAAAGCACTGGGTTATCTGCTTCTGCTGGCAAAGGTGGGCTGACTGCAAGTCTGTCCCTGTAGCTGTGGAGGGTGAAAGGCTGCTCCAAGCCCACCACCCACCCTCCCTCTGCCACCCCAGAGATCTCCCATCCAAACTCACCCTTCAGGTAAAAGACACCGGGCTAACGAGGCATTCTGTTCCTCCCCAGGGACTTACCCTTGCATACAACAGCAACCTTGTTGATTGAAATTTATCATAGTCCAGTGCTTTTTGTAAATAAATTTCAGGGTTATTAACTCCTTTTATGGCAAAATAACCGTCTGTGCCCTGGCAAGGGAAAAGGAAAAATCCTGTAGCAGACTCAGTCACAGACATGTTTCAAATCCTGCTCATTGCTGTGTTTGTCATCTCAATTGTACCTTTAATCCTGGGGAACTGGTTGGGGGGGGGCAGTGTGGGAATGCTGGATCTATTTAATCTTTGGTACTGCACACTGGAGTTGCCTGGCTTGTCAAAAGGTGTGTTCCTCCTCCTCGATGAAATCTCTTACCTCATTTATTTCCTACACTCAACAAGTTGCCAACAAGCCTTCATTTTTGGTCCCTGACAGCCAAGCAATCTCACTTTCATGCAAAAAACAGGCCAAAGATGGCTCAGCCTCTGAGGGCTGGCAGGATCACCTGCCTTAGCCTAATGCAGCTGGATTTTGGAAGAAACTGTAAAGCCAAACTGAAGTAACGTACGTTGCAATTTACTCTGCAGCCTTCTGCATTTGCTTTGGCTCTCCTTTAATCTTATGCCTTGTCTACAGTTCCTTTGAGTTTCTCAATTCCTCTCGATTTACACCAATGTGAATGCAAAGTCTGCTCCCAGAGCTGAAATGCAGAAACTGGTGGTTTCTGTTCCCAGCCCCTAAAACCCCTGGGGTAATGGAGGTAACGGATGCGAGTGTCAGGCACTGTCTGCTCCCTCCACAATGCTTTTCAAAAGTGCAAACATACATTTGGGGTTTCTCTTGAATTTGCTTTTATTTTTAGTTTCTAGCCAGCCCTTGCACTCCAGGTTGGCATCAGGGACTGTGTGCACAACCCATTTCCTCTGCTGCCGTTGGCAAACAGGGCAAGGACTCCATTTCCCATCTGACTCAGTGCAATTCTGAGCTCCCTGAGGTACAAAGGTCTCCTGATATGTTTACAGATCATCCCAACAAGACTTCCCTGAGTTTTATGGCTCTGAATATCCCAGATGAAAATTTAATCTGTACAGTGCAATAAAAGTGTGAGCAGTGAGAGAATTCAATACCTACAGCATTGATGGCTCTGTTCTGTTAACCAAATAAATGTTTGGAGTTTGTAAAAGATGAGAGCTAAATGCAATGACCTCTGCCTGAGAACTGGGGCTCTTCTGAATCCGGCTTCTCCAGAGCTACTCTTTCTGGCCAGAGATGCTCACCTGCACTGTGGCTGTGAGTTCATAGTAGATGATGTCCAGGTCAGCATCAGTAGCGGTTAAATCTTCACGGGCTACAATGGTTGCATTCACTTCTGTATCCTGAAAAAACACATTGCTGGGGTTATTCTCTGTGTGAAATGGGCTGAAGCCTCTCCCTGCTGACCCTTCCTCAGTCCCACAGCACTGAGTGACCCAGTGCCCTCTTCCATTCCAAGACACACTCACCTCTCGGACAGACCTGGTGAGATTCGTCTGCTGAAACTGCGGATCGTTGTCGTTCAAGTTGAGAATGGTGACAATGATTTCCAAAGAATCGATCTGCAGAACGGGCAAAGGGAGAGGATCAGAGCCAGAGAGAGGCTGCTGGGGCTGCTCCTGGTTTGCAGAGTGACCAGAGGGGATGGTGTAAGGAGCAGAGCTGGGTGAGGGTTGGATGGGGCTGGGAGCGTAGTGTGTGTGCCCACAGGGAGAAGGACATCTCCCCATGCCTGTGTGGGAAGAGCAGAGGGAAGCACATGCTGGGTGCAGTCCCTCATCCTGGGGCTCACCTGGCCAGAAGAGTCCTCACAGTTCAGGTACACCACCAGCAGAGGGTCTTCCTGCAGGAAACACAAACCCACCACTGCAGAAACAGCCAACATGTGCAAACTCCTTCAAAGCAAATGACCCAAACTTATGCTTTGCTGAATCAGAAATGCTGATGGGCTTTATCTTGTTTTCAGGTGTACCTAACTTTTACTTTCTTTCCTTGGTGCTGGGATCTTGGGATGGAGTCAAACCAGCCCAACCTTCCAGCCTCTCTCCCTGCATCTCCTGTAAGCTGCTGACAGAGCTAACCTGTCATTTTCTCCCACTTCAGGTGAATTCAAACAGAGATTTCTTTTTAAATTGAATGAATCAGAAATGTTCCATGTGGCAAGTACAGGGTCACCTGCAGGGTATTAACTCTGGCTGCTGCTCTTGACTCAAATAAATGTGGGGTTTTACATTGAAAGGGAACTTAAGGACGCTTGTGGCTGTACACAGAGCACTCCAGTGAGGTAAAAGAATGTAGCAGCAACCTAAATGAACAGTGACCTTTTACGCTGCTTTTCAGTTTCACACAAGGTCATAGAATCACAGAATGGTTTGGGTTGGAAAGGACCTTAAAGCACCTTCCACTATCCCAGGTGGCTCCAATCCCTGTCCAACCTGGCCTTGGACACTTGCAGGGATGGGACAGCAGCAGCTTCTCCGAGCAACCTGTGCCAGGGCCTCCCCACCATCACAGGGAAAAACTTCTTCCCAATATCCCATCTAACCCTGCCCTCTGTCAGTGTAAAGCCATTCCCCCTCATCCTGTCACTCCAGGCCCTTGTCCAAAGCCCCTCTCCACCCTTCCTGTCTGTCCCTTCAGACAGTGACTCACCTCATAGTCCACCACCTTTGTGAGCAGCAGCTCATTCCCCTGGATGGTGAAGAAGCTGCCGTCGGGGAACCGGGGGTCGATGCTGACGGTGAAGCCTGGCTGCACGTAGATGGTGGTCACCACATAGTTAACAGGGTTGTTTTCAGGAACTTTCGGATTGCTGTTACTGACAGAACATCCTGGAAAGACACACAAATGAGATGGGAAGCTGCCTGGGGATTCCCGCTGGGAAGGAGCAGGTGAGAGCCAAGACCTCTCTGGTCCCCCTGGGGTGAAGTCGCTGAGCGAAGCAAACACCTCCCAGCCTATCCCACCGCTGCCTGGGGACACTGCCAGGGCCCACGGACCTCCCGCAGGAGCTTACCTTGCTGCTGTGCTGAAACCCCTGCCATGAGAGGCAGCAGGACGAGCACAGGTGTGAGGAGCCAGCGAGAAACAGCCATGGGGAGCTGCCAGTCGCTGAAGAATCCCTGTTCCCAGCTAAGCTGATCCTCTCTCCCCGTTTCTCCCGGTGCCGTCTCCCGCGCTCACGGCTTTGTGACGGCAGGAACAGTGACTGGACTGGATTGCTGAGCTTCAACCTTTGCCTCCTTGCCTCATTGGGTGAGTTGTTGAAAGATTTACCAGTCATGGAACATGATGACACGTACATTCCTATTTCTTCTTTTTTCCTGGGTCTCTCCTATCCTGAACTCTTCGTGGCAACAAGAATGTATTTGAAGCATTTCAGAACTCAGGGCCAAGCCCTCCCCCCTGAGATGAGCATGAAGGACAAGGGCTGGCACTCGGGAAGCTGCCTGTATTCTCCAGACTCTCCCAGTGGGAAGGTTTCTAATGTGCCAGAGATGGGGTCTGTATCCCACAAGGTGAGCAGGGTAGATCCTGACAGGGACGAGGCTCGGCAGCCCAGGAATTGCCAGCAACTCTTTAGGGAAAACACACACACCTCCTTCTACCAGTGGCCAGCAGTGGCTCCTTGTAGGGATGCCTCCCAGAATCCCCTTCCAGGGGACCTCTGCTCTCACTGATTCTTTTAAATTCCCAGCTGATTTCAGAAGGCTCTCATCTGCTGCACCTCAGCCAAGTGGCTGTTAGTGGCTCAATGGAATCCAGGCTGTCAACACTCCTTAAAGTATTCCAAGAGGAATCTTTCCTAGCAGAGACTTCCTATGGACCAAAATAAACAACTGCTGATGTTTGTTCAGCCCCTCAGTAATGGTGCTCAGGTGAGCACTGGAGTGGGAAGGGCTCCTTTGCAGGTGTCAGGTACATTATAGATGGTGAAAGGTGCTGGAGCAGGATGGGCTGAGCAGGGTTGTGCTCGGCACAGGACTGCAGCTGAAGATCCTTATTTTAGAGCTGCTCTCCAGAATCTGTTGGTTTTACAGGAAAGCTGGAGTGGCTGTTCTATCAGAGGAGGGAATCTGCATGTCAACAGCATGTAAACCTCATTAAGTGGTGGGAACAAATTCCTCCACGTGGAGCTCTGTCTTTAGTGGCTCTGAGAAAGCTGGGCCAGCAAATCCAGGGGCAGAATGGAGCGGAAATACCATTTACAGTGAGTATCTCTGTTGTGTAGCTCTCAGAACATTTCTTTGCCACAGAATCTAACACCTGGTTGAGTTCCTGCTCCATGGATTCTGACTCTGTGCACAGCTGGACAGTGGGCACTCCGAACGTGCCTCCTGTGGGGGATCCCGTTCCTCGTGTGGGAGATCCCGGCACAATGCTCCTCCCCAGACCCTGCATTCCAAGGGTAAGGTACCACCCTTCTTCCAGTTTCCCAAAGGGGAGCCAAGGCACAGGCACAGCTGACCAATCTTTATTTGGGAGCAGCAGTGGGCAGCCAGATGCCAACACACAGTGGAAGGGATGTGCTTCACCCAGGCTCCATCTACTGACAGCAGTTCACACCCACACACATTTCACTTTGGGTAATCTAAGAGGTTTCATCGGGTTTTGGCTCCTTTCCACGATTATTTTTATTTATTTGCCAATCTCAAGAGTTTTTCCTAAGCAAATTCAAGAGCTTCCCTGTTTATTTTCAAGGCCATACACATGCAAAGCTGTCTCCTTGGCTGGTTTTTTTCCCTTCACCTTCAGGCAGAACCATCTGTATCTTCCTTCATGTCTGCAACCAGCAGCTTAGAGATGGGGCAAATGTACTGGCTGGTGGTGGCAGCAGCTTCCCAGGCATCTCTGTCCGAGAGGCTGCAGGGAGGGAAAAAGGAGGGAGAGTTCCTTACTCCTGGGGCCTGGACTGCAGGAAGTGTGACAAAGCTGCCTTGTGAAATTCAAGGATAGAGGGACCATGACTGCCTGCAGCCAGGCACCCCACAAAGGCACAGCGGGGTTTCATCCCCACTGTGGTCAAGAGGTACTAAGGGCCAGTGTATTCCTCCTAATTTTAGGGATTTAGGAGTGAGATGTCTAAGTGAAAGTGGTTGGTCACTAGGAAAAGACAATATCCAGGTGCTAGGATCCTCAGCAGTGTGTTTGACAGGGGAGCAAGGGTTTTCTTTCCATTTTAACTGTTAGGTTGGGTTTCCTAATGGGATGAATAATTACTGCAGTCCAGGATAACAACTCTATGATTAGAAAAAGACATTATTTCTTTTCCGTGGGTCTTATCATTTTTAATAACTGGCTTTTCTAGGGCTGTTTATAAAAGCATTTGGCTTTATAAAAACTTTTGGCTTCAGTACTGTGGGGCTCAGGGCCACAGAGGGAACAAATCTGTCCCACCTACCTGGTGTTCAGAAAGCTCTGGTACAACCAGAGAAAGCAAAGTTCTGCAGGGCTGTTCTCTCCCTCTCTCTCCTGCACATCTGTGTTGACCGGGCCAGGAGAGCTGGAAATTAATAATAATTAAAATAACAATTAAGAATAATTAAAGAAAATTAACGATAATTAAACCCCCCAAACCACAACAGTGTAAGCAGCACAGCTGTAGAGCAGCATGTGCCCTGTGTCTGCTGCTGTGGTGTCACAGACATGACGTTCACGGGGGGCCCAGAGTGGCAGTGAGAGCCACGGGGGGCACAGGGGCTCCCAGAGGTTTCCCAGAGGTTTCCCCTCACCTGCGCTTGCGGCCCATGAGGCTTTGGATGAATTTCTGCACCTGGGCATTCCCTCTCATCTTGCTGTACTCGCTGGTGAACAGCCCATCCGAGTGTCTCTGGGACCTGGGCCAGGGGAACACAGACAGCAGCTGCTCAGCCCCTGGCAGCCCTCAGTGCTGGGATCCCTCTCCCTCTGAAGAGTCCCTCGCCCCACAGGGTGGGTCTGGCTGGTGCTCACCTCTCCTTGAGGCCCACCAGGTGTTTGACCAGCTGCCTCACGTAGGCGTTGCCGTTCATCTTGCTGAGCTCGCTGTGGAAGAGCCCGTCAGCATGTCGCTCCATCCTGGGGGGACTGAGAGGGAGGAGAGGCTTAAAACCAGACAAGAACGGGCATTAAACACTGCTCCCTCAAGGAAAGAGGGTCCCAAACACACACAGGCAAGAATTTGTGCAATTTTGGCAAAGTTTTGCCAAAAAAAGGGAAAACCTTAAGGGAATCTAAAAAATATCCTTGTTAACCATCACACAGAAAAATGACCTGCACTTGCTTTTAGTGATGTAATCACCTTGCCACAAGGATGTGAGAATGTGAGGTTAGTGCTGGCTCAGCACAAAAGAGTAGGGCAAGAGGCTGGAGAAGTAATAAACACCCAGAGGCACAAACCTGAGGAGCAGGTAGATAACGGCAGTGGTGACACAGACCAGCCCTTGCCAGTGACTCCTTTGGTGAACTTGGTGAACTTACAGTGTTGGCTATTTCTGGCTATGTTTTCATGGGACCAGACTGTTGGAAATAAACTTCCACCTCTATCAGGCTGTGTAACTACATAGCAGGAAAACAGACTCCAAAGTGACCTTTTAACTTACTTGGTTCTGTTTGGGGTCATGAATTTTCTCTTTCATTAAGCCAAATCAACATTCCCATTCTCAAGCAATAAAAAAAATCTTTACAACGTTTGCACTCATTTAACTAAATCAATGTAGGGAAGCCAAAATCCACAGCCAAGCAGATGCAAGTTCAGGAAGGCAGATAAAAGGCTGGGTTTACAACCAGCAGGCTCTTTGAACAAAAACCATGGGGAAAAAGGAGGCAGAGTCCCAAGGAACGCTCACCTCTCCCGGGATGGCAGAGATGCTGAGAACTGGGACAGGACAATCATAGGAATAATGACTTGCCACAGAGCTGTCATCATGGAAACCATGTCCTCTCCTGAAATCTTTCAAGAAGGAAAAAGAAATAACAAACATTTTCAGTCACTGCAGACCCCCCCCCTAGTTTGTTTTCTTACTGAAATAAAAAGAAAAGCACATTTGGTTTATCCCAAGCCCCTTTGTTCCCAGGCTCTGCCCTGTGCCTGCAGAGGTGGGTATGTGCCTGTAAGAGGGTGCTCACCTTTCCCCAAGGACCACACAGGAGCTGTATCCGGAACTTATAACACACCTGCCTTCCTCCTGCAAAGAAACCAGCCTTCCTCACTGTTCTGCAGTCTCTCAGGCAGCACTTGCTAACCCCAAATCAAAGTTCTCCCACTTGGTTTTTACTTTATTCTGAAACTAGACAGTACAAAGAATGTGAAAGGACTGTCAGAGATTCTTGAACACTTTTCAGCCACCCTCCTGGGACTGTTTGCTGCTCTGGAGGTGCTGCAAGATGAGAAGAGGTAGGAGGAGGAAGGACAAGAAGGGGGATTTACCCAGAAATTCATTCAGTGTAAACCACAGCACAAATATTTAATGATGGCTGCAGAGCAAACAGGTGAGAGGATGAAGGAGCCACAAGCTTCATCTCACATACACTTAGAGCTTTAATGTTGTGTTTTCCTGCCTGATTCAGCTTTGAGGAGATGGAATAGGAAAACAAGGACATTTCCAAGGTCAGTCTCTTATTGGAGTCCAAACTAGGCAGACTGCACAGTCCTGCAGAGGAGCTGAGAACAGCCACCAAACCCAGAGCTCAACACCCTTGGGGAAGGAGAACCTGGATCCTGAGCCTGTCTTTCCATCTGTCCAGCACCTGCCACACAATGCCTTGACCCCCAGGATCTCACCTCGGCATTGTGGCCTTCCTTGTGCTATCCCTGGGATGGCATTTCTCTGGGAGAACCAGACTTAAGAGCCCATTTTAAATCCCATCCCTGGCTCCAGACTTTCCCTCCACTCCAAAAACTTTCTGGCTGCTAATCCAGTGGATCAACTTGTCTTTTCTCTTTCTGGGCATAACTTTTGTCTCAGAGGTCTGAAACCCACCCCCCAAAGCTGAAAGAGGGGGGAAGCACAGCAGGACTCACCAACCCTGGTCCCTCGTGGCTCCCACTGATGCTCCACTGGCCCATTCCTCTCGTGGTCTCCTATAAATGTGCTGCCCTTATCAGGAGCAATTATTTGGGTAAAGCTATGAATATGAGCAATCATGATTAACAGCAAACAATGCAGTGGGGCTGGAATGCCCCTTTAATTACCTGACGGGGTCATTCACAGCAATTCGATGGACTATTTCTGCTGATGGATAATAATTCCTGCTTCTGTCTCTAAGGACAGGCGTTTGTTGGGCAAACATCCCTGTACCAATTGATTCACTGTGATTGTCATCATTATCTCCCAGCTTTAATTACCTCTTGATAGGAGCTTAATCTCCTGTTCTTCTCTTTTAATGCTGGCTTGGGCTGTGTTTGCAATTGCCAGGATCTGTTGGTGAGTCCCTGTGTGCCCCAGTGATTTGGCTGAATGACATGTCACTTTTATAGGGCAACTGTTGTCTGCTCAGTAGGATCAGGGCTGACTTTTGCATGAGGGGACAACACCTTTTGAGCTGTGGTTTCACCTGGGACAGGTGTGCTGAGAACAGACTCTGTCACAGCTTCTAAAAAAGCAGCATACATAAACACACACGGAAAACATCCTGAATGTATTCCCTGCCATTGCTGGGGGTTGGAGCTGGTTCGTCTCAACTGCTGCAGGTAAAGGTGACATGGGAATGGTGGTGGCACTTCAACCTGGGCTCCTGGTGTTGCCAAACACCCACAGCTGAGAAAACCCGTGGAGGAGCAAGGCAAGGAAGGAAGAAGGTTTATAAAGGCCGAACAACATGCAGGGAACTAAAAATTACTAATGTGATTTCCCTTCCTTTGCAAATAACCTCAATGGGTCTGAAATGCCCCCGAGCTCTGAGGAAGCTCAGTTTGCCATGAGAGTCTGGATGAGAGGACAGAGAAGAGGTCGGAATGACAAAGTGGCCCCACGATGGCAGCAGAGGGTGAATAATAGGACAGTAAAAGCTTCTGGGGACTGGAAGAACATGCTCTAAGTAACCTGATTTACCTACTTCGCACAAAAAATGGGATTTGCCTCCAGCAGCACTGGCAGAGTGAAAAGGTGGTGGGGTAGAAAACTGTGTAGCCATGCCCAGCACTGCTGCAATTAATGCAGGTGCCAGCCACGGGCTCAAACTCAAACGCAGGTTCTGAGACCTTGATGAGGAAATTCGGGGACATGAAGGGAACTCAAAAGCATTTGCAAGCTGAAATTTATACATGAATAAACTAGAGCCCAAACCAAATCCCCAGTCCTGAAACAACATCCGATTTTCCTTAATCAGAATTAGCACCAAACACTCATCAGGAGATTCTGGAAATAGGAGTGATAAAGGATCCTGCTCAGCAATATTGACTGATTGGAGCTTTGGGAATCTGCACCTTGCTACTCCCATCTCCATTTGTGAGAACGTTCCAAGTGGGAGTGGAGATTCCCCTCGCCTGCATCCAGCAGGTACAAAGCAGGATTAAATCACCCATGTATCGATGGAATGTAACCCACCATCTCTGCAGTATCACTGCAGAGAAAAGCTCCTCGGCACTGGCTCTAGGAATGATACAGGGAATTGCTGGCCTCACCTGGGCCCTGCTCCTGCACCGCTGTCCCACCTGCAGCCTCAGGAAGTCAGGGCTGCACTGATCCCAGCCACCACCAGCCCGTGGGACAGAACACTGCTCTAAGGGGCTGGAGCAAAGTGAGGAGTGCTGAGTGTGCATCCACACTCCTTGGAGAGGGCAGGGAGAGACGCTCTGGGACAGGATGGAGAAAGGACCTGTGATGGCCATGGGGCCACCCTGAGCTGCCCTGGGGACACTGCCAGCTGTAAAGCCACCGGGATCTCTGTGCAGTCACCTGTGCTTAAGGTGACACCAACTGACATGCCCAGGGTGCAGAGCCCTGTGGTGGCATGCATTAAGTAAATCCAGCTGCCACGGGCGCCAGGGCTATTCCCAGCACCACGCTGATGGCTGGGGACACCCTCGTGAGCAGCAGAGAGCAGACATTATGAAACAGAGGGGCCACCCCCCTGCAACACCCAAGCTCTGGTTCCTGCTCCCAAGGTGACCTGTCCAAAGGCATCCAAGCTGAGAGTGGAACTGAGGAAGGCCTTTTTCCTCCTCTTTACAGCAGGAGGGCTCACCAAACCTACAGTGTGAAATGCAGCATCTCAGGACCACATTAAATGTTTTAGTCCCAAATTTTGCAATATTTAAGAGATTATCTTTTTCTGTGGTGGAGGTAAAGACAGAAAACTGCATTTTGGAAGAGAGAGGGTTTCATCACAAAGCTGCATATCCTGACCCACACCACAGGGAGGATGCAGACAGACTCTCCAAAATCAGCACTCAGAGCTCTGCAGGGTAAGTCCAAATTCTGAAAGGAAGAAATTCCCATTCACACTCCTAAGAAATCGGTACAGGAGATCAAAAAAGACCTTTGACTGGAGGAGCACTGTGGCTGCACTCATAAGAACAGGCTGGATAAATGTTGCTATTGTCTCGTGGACACTGTTGCTCCTGCCTTGGAGCAGGAAAGCCCACCCAGCCTTTGGGGTTGCTGTTTGTCCTGGGCAGCCCTTACAAGGTTTGTCCAATCCTTGCCAGCCTATCCACAGTCCAAGTCCCAGGATCTGCTGGAGCTGCTCTTCTTCATGGAGACACCACATCCCCAAATGCTCCCACAGCCTCTGAATGGCTCCCTGAGGTCTGTGGCTTTGGAATGGCAAAGAGCACAAGGGCCAAGCCAGGCTGAGGAGGCTGGGGAGGGACCATCTCATCCCCCACACATCCAGCAGTGGTGTCCCCAGTCCTGAGGAAGCTGTCCAGGGGCAGCCAGCCTTTGAGGAGCCCAGCACAGGCTGTGCCCCATCCAGTGGCAGCCCCAGCCCATGGCAGGGGAAGTTTATTGAGGTCAGATGGTACGAGGAGCTGCACGGCTAAACCCTGCCTACGTAAAATACCCTTTAATCAGCTTAGGGGCTGTTCAGGAACTTCTACCTCCCCCATTCCCTTTTCCCCTCCTTGCCATACCTGTGTGAGGCCATGTGGGCATGGAGTTGTCTCTGTGTGTCTGCAGGTAAGCCCTGCCCAGGCCCTGAGCTGACGGTGACGCTGCTGCCAGCGGGGAGCAGCTTGGAGGCATTTCCTTGCATCACTCCCAGCTCTGTAAGAGAAAGGACCCTAATTGGAATAAGGGGATTGGAGGATTTAGCCTTCTAAATGCTCCTTTCTTGCACAGGATGCTTTCAGGAGTGGTTTTAATCTTTACCACCTGATTTTGTGATTTTGGCTGCAAGGGGGAAGAGCGGGATGGCAGCAAGGGGTGAGCAGGGCAGCTGTAGGTGGGCTTGGGAGAAGGAAGAGGAAAATCACAGTCCTGTATGGTCATGGGACACACCTGGAGTGTGCCCACTTGCTCTGAAACCAGGAGGGAAGGTGCTGGACACTCTGGTTACCTCCATGGCTGGCACCATCATTCCGGGCCAAGGACAGAAGACCAAAGAGCCTTTTAAAGATGAGCTGCTGCCCCCATCAAGCACTTGCTGACCTTTACACCCTTTGGAACTCCCTCCCAAATTCCCTGAGCACTGCCCAAGTGGGAGCACCCTGCCTGCCCCCAGGCAGTGTCCCCAGGGTGGCTGCACAGGTGGAACAACCCATCCCACTGCAGGGACACGGTGGGACAGGACTGGGTGGCTTCCTCCCAGGGCTGCTCTGGCCATCCTTGCCCTCCTGGCCCAGCACTGCTCCCGGCCCAGCTGGCAGCTGCCCTGTCCCTGCACACAGAACTCCTCTGCATGTTCTGGCCCTGTCACGGCTCCAAGTGGCATCAGCGGTGCAATCCCGGCCTCCAGCTGTTTGCTGTGTCTGGGGAAGAGGGGAAAGCACTTCAGGGAATTCACTGGAATGAGAAGAACAGCACCCAGCTGTGCCAGGTGTGCCATGCCAGCACTGAGCACAGCAGCTCCTGGCACAGCTGCTGCGGCTGCTTCGACTGCAGCCCCCCCTGGCCTTTGCCAGGGACCTGCAAGGACCTCCAGGGGAGCAGGAAGGGGCTTTTTCTGAAAGGGCACCCCTTCCAGGGGAACAGGAACAGGCTTTGTCAAGGGGAGGGTGGAGGGAGCTGCATCTACAGGTGCTTGCTGCTCCCAGGCATGCCCTTCCCTGCCTGTGTTGCCTTCCACTTCTCCCCCTGCCCAGGAGGTTTTCCCTGACAAGTGACTTAAATAAACTCACTGACGTTTTAAAACCAGTAGGGGCTTCTGAACTATGCTATTTGATCTGCCTTGTGCCACAAACCCTCGTATCCCTTGTATATCACCAGGTTACTCTTGTGTGAGATCAGTGATGGGGTTAAGCTGAAACGTGGCATCCACAAAAACACCTAGTTTGGGCTCCAAGCAAAGATGGAAAATCCAGGCATTTTCTCCATAGTTTCATCCCCCCCAGCTAACCACTAGCATTAGTTTTTACATCTTACAGGGATTTATCATAACTTATCAGAAAGGTAAATGTCAAAAGACCCACTCAGTGTGTACATAAATCCCTGCAGCTTCTCGCAGGGGGACTGGCAGAGCCTGGCCAGCCCGGAGAGCCCAGAGAGCCCAGAGAGCTGTGCCATCCTCCTCCCTCTCCTGCAAAGCCTCACCTGAGGCAGGATGCTGCCCCTGCCTCTTTTCTGGGAAATGCATTACAGGAGATTGGAAAGCTGGGCGGCTTTGCTGCCGACAGACTCTCACAGAGAATTGCCCTTGTCAATATGGCAAATCAAAGGAACACGATTGGCTTTAAGAGCTCTTTGTTTTCCTCCCTTTGTCCTGAACCTGAAGAGAGCCGGGAATGCTGCTCCCGGCTATCAGGGCACTATTCATCAGCCGAGTTTGGCACATCTGTGCTGAAACTTTGGCAGCAGCATTGTTCCACTTTTCTATTTAAACATTCAGTGTCTCAGATGTGAGAAAATATGTTGATAAAAGTTCCATCTCTTTTTGGAGACTCTGACAGATGCCTCACTTTGCCACTCTCCTGATCCTTTGAACCGGCTGGGAATCAAATCCTCAATTAATTCATCCTGGGGGAGTGTCTGGGGGACCCCTCTGGGCCCCCTGGCAGGGGACCAGCTCCACCACAGCCACAAACCACGCTGCTCATCCCCCTGAGCTTCTCTTACAAACAGTCCAAACCCCCAGACCAGGCAGATGTCTCACACCTTTGTTGCTCAGGGTGTTTTCCTGGCGCTGCCATTTTCCCGACACAAGGAGCAGCCGTGGTGGCTTCCCCAGCCCCTCCACCTCCTGCCCGGAGCCGCTCCCTCACGGCGGGGTGGGGAACCAGGACACCGCAGGATGTGCAGCCGAGCAAAGAAGGGTTGTCA